CTACATATCCAACCTGGCCCTACAGGAGCCAGAGTGACCAGCGCCGAGTTATATCACTGCAGAGCAAAACCCGAGACACTTTACTCAGTGACTCAGAGGAAAAAACGCACACATCTGACGTCCATTATGCACTTGGAGGGGGGTGCATCCAGGGTGGCCTAGGACCCGTTTCCTCACAAGCCTCTGTCCCGATGGGCCACCTGGAGGGGAGAGCAGAACTCAGTTTCTCTTCAGTGCCTTAGCAGGCCACAGCACCACACTGCCTGTGAATGTGCAGAATCTGGAGCTCTTTTGTTATCGATTAGTTCCCAACTACTGCAAAAACCTCAGATTGACCTCACCAGCGTACCTGATTTCAACGATTCCACAAATGAAAACCCTGTATTTAATCCACAGGAAAATCCCACTTACCGTTTTTCCCCTCACCAATCTCCAAAGCACCCTTAACATACAGGAAGATTAGATTTTACAATACAAAATAGCAGTAAATAAGATAACTAACCTATCTACTAACTAACCTATGGATATTTACCTGAAACTACAGTACTCCCAGTACATAAGGCTGAACCACAGGTGTACTGTCTTGTTTACAGAAGTAAAATCACCACAACTAGCGTTTCACAGCCGCCCCTCCCCCCACACAACTACATGATGCTGCTACTGTATTAAAAATTTAATTCTTCAGCACATTAAAAAAAAACTCTTCTCGTCCTTTTTAAAATGATGGTTCTAATCGACAGAACTGGAGCTATCCAAGAAAGTGGAAAAAATAAAACGTCATAATTATCACTTTTCACGCATAAACGCTTACAAATTATAAAACAATGACAAAAATTCAATGTTTTTTATTACTGATGCAGCCAAGTGCCCATTTCAAGAAAAACAAGATGAAAATATGTACAAGTTTGATCAGGGAATGATGCGTTTTCCTCTATTTTTAACCTTATTTAGTCCTGTAAACGAGGGCACGAACGATTACAGCGGAAGCGATCCCCACAAAAGGAAGGTTTTTATTTCTATTTTTTGTAGAAAAACCCTTCAACAAAATAAATTTACATAGCGCATACATTGCATACTTAGCATTAAGAAAAGAAAACGCGTTAGATGGCACCACCTTCTAGGTGTTGTACCGGTATCACCTTGCTTACCTGGCCCGTTTCCTCGTATCATAAAGCAGCACCGCACGCACTGCAGCAGCGGCTTAAATCACATCGCCATTCCCCTGGTTCACTCAGGAAATGATACACGTTACAGATGGAAAAATGAAGGGAAAACATTAAAGGGCGTGATACAGAGCCTCGACCGACCCGTACAAATGGAAAGTACATGTCATTTGCAACCACCTTATGCATCACTTTTATTTTTCGACAAGCTTTTTTTTTTTTGCTACAGCATAGTCGGCAGGCGGTACGTACAATTAACATCAACCCCCACCAAAAAAACACAACTCCCGTTTGTCAAATAAAAAGCGATGAACACAAATCACTTCTCCGAATTAAAAAAAAAACACAAAGGGAGGAAAAAAACGACATAAAGCGTGGTAAATAAATCCCTCCCATGAGAATGAAGCCGGTGGACAGAAGGGAGCTGACAGCATGCAGGAGAAAACTAAACACCATCTTTTATTCTACCTGCACAAGTTGCCATTTGCTGCAGCGCTTAGGAATCTCTTTCCCTTCTGCTTTCAAAGAGAGATCGGCTTTCATGAAACGATTCCTTTTCACAGTCTGTGGATTTAATTCTCCCGAAATCAGATTTGCAGGATTGTTTTTAAAGAGGACATTTGCAAGAGCAAAGCCCCGTTTTTTCCCCCCTGTTCAGGTAAACATGTTTACAGCTCCGCTACAGACACTGGGTGGCTCAATACTTATATGTCACACACATGTCGTCAGCGCAAGCAGGAAAAGCCTCTCTTCTTTTTTTTTTTGCTACTCAACATTCATTAAAAGCCCGAAAGCTTCCAAAAACACTTTTAAACAAGTCTAAAACGAAATGTAGGTACTGGAAATCCAAATAAATTAATTACGTTCTGATCAAATTAGCCAATAGTATCTTTTGCCAAGAAATGTGAAGCACTCCGCCCATGAATTTAACAAAATAGGTGTAAAAAAAGGCGACTATTGAAAAAAAAAATCATATTTATCAATCACTTTCCAATACAAGACTTCACAACAACCTGACTTTGGTTAACGCGTATTGACAAATCTGCCACAAACAAGTAAAACTTTCTTTTTTTTTTATTCTTTTGACAGGAGATTTGTTAGAGGACTTGGACCACGTTCACTCTTCCAACAGCCCGTCTTTAATAATTCCGCACAAAACCAGGCAAGGCGGGGAATCCCACACGAAAACCAACAATAGCAAATAAAGCTCCATTTTTTTCTCTCCTTTTTACAAAAACAAAAACTGGTTTCTCATCTCTGTAAATACAGAACACGCACGCACGCACACACACACACCACAGAAAACAAAAAAAGGAAAACGTGACAGCTCTGTCCAGCAAACGGAAGCGAAGAGGGGAGCTGGTCCCAGAAGCTTTCTGCAGCACCTTTGTATTGGTGATTAGATACACAGAATGCCCGGTCCGGCGGCAGTCGCAGATGTAAATGTATTCCTTATATAGACTGCAGCAGTTGTGCACAGACACAGAGAGAGAGGGGCCCCTCTCTTTTCTGTACAGCGTTACCACCCAGCACGTATAATACTAACAGGTATCTCTAGCTTTCAGCCTGAGAAAGAGAGAGAGAGAGAAAAAGTACCGCAGTATTTTTCCCCCTTTTTTGTGCACTTTGTGAAGTCCTTGCCCCGCACAGGGCGTGTTTATTGTGGCACGGTAACATCCGATTCCGACATATATATATATTTTTAAAAAAAGATCTTTAGTTCACACGCTGCAACAAAAGACGTAGCTAACAGGAGAGGTCACCCAGCCAGGCTGCTGGAAAACAACCCTTGTCAAGTCATTTATATAAAAAAATAAACTTAAAAACAGGTGCGAGAAAAAGAAACTCAGCTCGTTCTAATTCGCGCACTTGGTGTTATAAAGAGATTAGTAAAATACAGAACTTAACGCAGCAACAGTGCTCCATATTTATTACTAAGCAGAAACAAACTCAGCAGCGTTCAGGTGAGAAGTTCCGAGAATGAAACGCATCGCCCAGGGATATTTTCAAACCAGTCTAATGTCTGGACAATCGCTGGGATATTATTTGGAAGCAGCCGAGTCCCCAGAACGACGCAGTGCCGCCGGGATAGTTGTTTTCACAGCGCTGCAAAACCAGGTAATAAGTTTCAGTTCAGCAAAAGGTTTAAAAAAAACACAGCGAGAAACAGAGCAGCCCGAAGTTTCCTGTCCAAAGTTAGCAATATCAAACACCAAGCAAACAGACGTCTGGTCCATTGAAGTGCGGAGAAACCGGACAGTAGGAAACAAAAGGAGCCCCCCAGTGTAACGGGATTAGGTGCGTATAACGGTTCAGGGAGCAGCGGACCGCTAGGCGGAGAGAGAGAAGCGAAGGCAGGTATAACGGTGCACCACATAGGGATACAGCGCACAAGCTCACTTTCTACTTTCCTGCACTTTGACTCACTAAAAAACGAGGCTCGAGGGGTCCCGCCGCCGTCTGAGCGTCGGGGATCCAAAAATCACCCCTCTCTCCACTCAAACCAAGGATCGCCCGGCAGACCAGAGTAGTTTTACTCACCGTTATTCCTCCTCGGATTCGCCTGTTTTCTGCGCTTACACCTGGGGCCATCCGCCATGATCCTTTCGCTGTGTCTAAATGCTGCTGGAGAGTCACCTCCTCTCTCGCCCCCCCCCCC